ACCATCACAAAGCTTTGAAGCTGTTCACTTCCTGATGTGTATTTGAATAGAATTTTATATCATGAAATATGCATGATTGATTACTAAGACTAGAACGACATCATCAGGATTAAAAATAGCAACCATTTATCTGAAAGCTGTGCAGCAAACCATTATATCACTGTGATTCACTGATCAGACTGCTGGAAAGATTGATGTGTAAGTCTTCATCCTACTTAGTTTATCTCTTTAAAACTGTGTACAACATTTTTCATCTTAACCTAAATTATTACTGACTTACTTTAACTGTATCTTATTCACTGTAAATAATTACTGACCTACTTTAACTGTATCTTATTCACTGTAAATAATTACTGACCTACTTTAACTGTATCTTATTCACTGTAAATAATTACTGACCTACTTTATCTGTATCTTATTCACTGTAAATAATTACTGACCTACTTTAACTGTATCTTATTCACTGTAAATAATTACTGACCTACTTTACCTATATTATCATTCTAAATAATTACTGACCTACTTTTCTTATTCACTGTAAATAATTACTGACCTACTTTATCTGTATCTTATTTACTCTAAATAATTACTGACCTACTTTAGCTGTATCTTATTCACTGTCAATAATTACTGACCTACTTTACCTATATTATTCATTCTAAATAATTACTGACCTACTTTATCTGTATCTTATTCACTGTCAATAATTACTGACCTACTTTATCTGTATCTTATTCACTCTAAATAATTACTGACCTACTTTATCTGTATCTTATTCACTGTAAATAATTACTGACCTACTTTATCTGTATCTTATTCACTGTAAATAATTACTGACCTACTTTACATGTATATTATTCACTTTAAATAATTACTGCCCTACTCAATTTGCACTCACAGTAATCAATAATTTAATTGACCTGTGACTTTTTCACACGATAAATATCTGCTTTTTCTTTCACCATAATAATTGACTGACCTGCAAATTTTTGTTCATTATATTTCTCAGGCAATGAACTGTGTCTGGTGCTAATCCCTATACTTTGATTCAGAAGTTAGGTGTTGACCCTCTTGTATAAACACAACATTGTCTATAACTTTCCTGTCAACATCATTATGTATTCACCATTATGATGAGGAGGGTACGATACTTATTAACATAAACCTTATTCATTCACCGTTATCTTCTAAAATCCCTTTTTAATAGAAATACTTCAAAGTTTCCATTATTAGTGACCTTGAATATGCATGTAACCTTTGACCTGAAAACATCAACATAAACAATATATTCCCAGTGTCAAATATCTCACAAATAACTCAATCCTCCTAGATCAAAGAAAGGGTTTACACCTATAAATCTCAATGATGCAACGGCAGATTTTTACCAGGTAAATCATTGACACCTGTACAACTGGTGTAGTAATACCCTAGTTCCCTTAAAATGTATGTGAAGAGATCAGGTTTGTGTATATCCTGTATGGAAACACACCTAGTTGGTATCAATAACAGTTACAAAAATGTGTCAACATTTTATTTGGGGATGGTCAGGTATACCGTTCACATTAATAGGGTCTGTAATTTGAAGTCATTTATCACATTATGAATAAACATCCGCATGCTTGTCTTTAACCTCAATATACCAGGATCCTGTTCATGAGTTTACCTAAACTATAATATCATATAAAAACAGATGTTTCAAACCCATACCATTGTTGTATATGTCGAACACTTTATAAATTAAATAAAACAGGAGTAAAAGAAATATATTAACTTTATAACACTCCAACATCCAGTGTGGCCAACCTCTTGTAAAATAACAGCTAGTCATGGTCTTCAATATTAAGGGTGACAGGGTGTTTTGAAGAGACATCAGGTACTGTTAAAAGACCTTATAATCAATTCTAGTGTATAGTTATTACATCTGTTAGTAATAAAATGATGTTCTATGTTATGAATGAATATCATTTTTATTATCTAAAACATGAATTTTAAATACCGATTAACAGTAAAGAAATATCAAGTGACACATTTTTGTGCTTTGAGCAGTTCATGATCTGACCAATATCAGGTAAGTAGGCAACACCAATCATCAGAATAGCCATAAACAATATCAACAGATTTTCATCAAGAAAAATAACATTTCAATTAGTACTGCTGGGTTCTTTTTAATAAGGAATATCCAAGATACAGTTTCACATGAATTCAGAAATAACACACATCTGACGTTTTTTCCATTTTGTCATCAAATCATAAAGTCACCTGTACATGATGAAAACCATCATGTTTTCTATTTATTATTGATAGACAACTTTCCAGCTAATCAGACAACTGAATCCATTCACCAATTTTTATTACAGTAACAGTATCAAAGTCATTCTGTTCCACTCTGTATCTTTAAATCTTTTAAATAATCACCTGTGTATCTTGACATTAAGTTTTATAACCTGAAACATTAGAACTACATTTCTTTCAGTTTGTTTTTTTGTTTAAAAAAAATGTGCATTAGATAAAATGTTAAAGTTTTTTTTCCTTTTTCAGAGCACAGTAACATGACGGGGACCTGACATCAAACAGAACCCGACCAGGTGAGAAGATTTGTTTACCTGGTAAGGAACACAGTTGACACTAATTCATTCACCTGTATCCACCCACCTGTTAAATAATGTTACTAAAGACAGGTACAACCCCTATACATTAACATATCACAGGAGATAGCTTCCAATTACTCTTAACATGACTAATACCACTGTAACTCACAAGTTTAATTTTCCTTCCAACAACTCAGACCACATTTTATATATATGATATATCACACCTATTTTTTAAGCAGTTTTTAAAGTTATTATCTCCCTTTAGTTGCTTTCAAAATGTGCAAGACCACAGTAACCTGGTATATTGATGACATTAAAGTACAGATGTAGGTAAGAAAGGTATTGTTTTTTTTATTCAGAGAAGGACCATCCCATGTTAACTTAGCAGATTATTTGGGAGTCAATTATTTCTGTGATGAGTCTATCAATGCATATTTAGAATATACTTAGAAATACATTGCAAAAATCTGGATTCTCCAATATATCATATTCTCTAGCACATTATTTGATGAAATTTTCTGCAGAAAAAATTGGATGATATTGTTTCCTGTGAACAATATTTGATGACATTTTTTCCGTATAAGAGACATTATCACTGTGTGCTGAATGATAATATTTCATGAAATCATTTTGTATTTATCCTAATTTCCTGTAAACAATATTTGACGATCCTATTACTTTTTTATGTCGCCATTATTTCCTGTTGACAACATTTGATGACATCATTTCCTAGACACAACATTTGATGACATCATTTCCTAGACACAACATTTGATGACATCATTTCCTAGACACAACATTTGATGACATCATTTTCTGCACACAATATTTGATGACATCATTTCCTGCACACAATATTTGATGACCATCATTTCCTAGACACAACATTTGATGACATCATTTCCTAGACACAACATTTGATGACATCATTTCCTAGACACAACATTTGATGACATCATTTCCTAGACACAACATTTGATGACATCATTTCCTAGACACAACATTTGATGACATCATTTTCTGCACACAATATTTGATGACATCATTTCCTGCACACAATATTTGATGACCATTATTTCCTGTAGACAATCTCTTATCACATTGTTATTCCCTTAGTATGATGTTTGTCAAATTATGACAAATAAAATCTCTTTCATGACGTCTGTAATATCTAATAACTTCTTTTAATCTTTTCCGTGTCAACAAGTATCAGAATTTAAGTGACCTTAGAACTTTGTTCACAGTAAGACCCATCCAGTTCTAAAACTACCTAATCCTAGAATCATCCAACATCAAAGCCTGTTGAACTTCAGACAACAGCTTTGAGTGGATTGATTTCAGCTTTGTACAAGCCATGATCACTGAAAAGACACAAGTGACTTAAGGATTCTGAGGTTCCAGAATTGTGGCGCAATATACAACTACATGTTTATCTATGACCATGGGTAACGCTAGTCCTCATCAGGCATGTACCCCCTAGTATATCACATCTTGGATCTAGGAAGGAATGGAAGTATGCTTAAGAAATACCATCTTATCCAAGATCATGGAAAAGTAAAGCTAACTTGTCTCCACTCTGGCATTACTTGATTACCATATTAGGGCATGACTTATAACATCTTACTGTAAATGTTGAGAAAAAAAAATATCAGAATAGTCACAAATAATAGTCTTTATATGATATCTTATTTCTCGTGTTTCACTATAGAAAACACTGGTCTATCGTCCCAAAATATATCTTACATAATGACTAGAGCTGTGTATGATAAATTCTCATCAATCTCCTGCAGGATCATGACCTTGACTAAACATATTTCTGTACTCGAGGATAAATGTTAGAAAATTAAGTAACTGGTTTGTCAAGGTACCACCAGGCCGAGACCAGCACTTTGATGTGTGCCACTTGCACACACAAAAAGATAACGACATGGATACATTTTGAGCTTCGGCTCTGTGATTTATCCGTGAATCAGTTAAATTCTCAGTCTGATGTGTGAATCAATGGAAAGGTATGTCTACACTTGATGTCAAACCTAGCCAAAAATAATTCTCTTTTTCTTTTTTTTTAACATTGCAGTGACACATGCTTACTGTTCTGATATATTTACACCAGACGTTTTCTGAACCTATCACTAAACAAACTTTAAAATATCTCAATAACATATCAATCAATAGCTGAATGAGGTTTTATTTTTAAAAATTTAAAAACTACTTTTATCACAACATGATAATTTTTTACATAGAAAATTAGTTTGCTAATACAGCCATTGAGATTCTTCTTTCCTGAATGTATTATCTCTATATATGATTCATTCCTGACTTTACATTCTCCAGATTACCGGTGTTCTTTGAGCCACATGTGACTCCTTTCCACCTAATCCAGAGCACCTACCCTTATACTTCACTCACCCTAAAGGAAGTGGTGGCCAGACAATTGGTATTCTCCTGTAGGTACCATAAATGTTCTCCTAGGTCCCCACCAGCACTAGAATCCTCAGCCTTGTCCTTTGCGGGACACATCTGGTAACTTGGAACCTTGCGGCCGTACTCAGCTGACTGGATCGTGATCAAGGTGCTGGGAGGACAGTTGAGGTGCAACTTTTCCCCATCACAAGCAGAATTCTCAAAAGTAAAGAGAGTACTTGTCAGGTAGCCTGCAAAACACAGATTTACATATTCCAGGTCATGATTTTTATTGCAATTATTCTGAAATGTAAAGATCAGTCATATTTTTTACAGACTACCTGTAAAATGAAATGCACATTCAAGATGAAAAGATGAATATTTCATGAATAGAGTTTTTTAATTCAAATGACCAGGTAAACTTGAGATTTATTTTAGTGAACAAGAACATGTCACATCAAATAGCAAAAATGTATCAAAATTCTGAAATTGTATTCTTCTTTACTCCATTATATGAAAACAATACTTATTCCACCTTTGACATTGAAGTCAAGATCACAATGAACCAGACAAACCACTGCATGCACTTCATTAGAAGGTGATTTAAGTACATAGCAATTTAAATTAAGATATTATTAACAGTTCGAAAGTTATCTGCTGGACAAGAAATCATCTTTAACAAATTCACACTTATTTGACCTATGATCTTGAGGTTAAGGTCACAATGACCTAACTTAAAGGCAGTGTACTTCACATCAGATGACGCAAGTACACTGTTAGTGCCATCAAGATATCTTCAACAGTGTAGGTGTTATTGCCTATACAAGACATTATTAAACATAGAAGACACTATGTCTCATTTGAAAGGGTAACAAGATATAATATCTAAGATGGTTACCAGTCATAGTTTCACTTTACTTAAACCTTGTCCTTCAGTAGAAAAATCTCATACAAACCACCATCAGCAAGTTTCATTTTTAAATGTTCATCGCAAAATAAAAACAAGGGTGAACTTTTCTCCACAAAATCTCGATTTAATCGAAGGGGGATAACTCTTACAGAACAGGAACAGTCCAACAGATAACCAGTGATGCCAATCTCATGGTTTCCATTTTTTCTATTTTCATTGCCATGTTGTGTACCTAAACACAAACATTCCACATAAGGATCATATAGAAGAAGCTATGTAAGTGACAACTTGTCATCAACATGTCACTACATACACAATCCATTGGACACAGTCCACAGAACACAAAAAAGAAAATTTATACAAAAATCATCAACATAGCGGACATAACATCCAAGATTCATTATATTAACTAAGATGTTTTGCCTTACCAAATACATAAGTTAAATTAACTTTCTCTTGAATTGCCCCTTGTGGAATTCATCTTGAGCTTTGTATTTTTTATACATTAAGGGCTCATACATATCAGTTAAGGAATGTGTTCAATCATACCTAATATCTGATAGAATACTGGCCCACCAGGGAGGAAGTGTCAAGATTTATCACCCTGTCCACCACAGGGACACAGATATCCAAGCTATCTAAACTGATATTGTGAAGACCAATTTTACATTACAACACCTTAACTGTATTTGGCAAAAACAGCCAGCTGTCATTTACATCATGGACAGGTCTCATTTCACCCCTCGACTCCTGTTTTGTATTCATACCTGATCCCAATGTACACATACCCTGATGGATTTCTCCCGTCAATATGTCACGTCCTAATCATGACCTTATGGTACATTTCTTGTAACCACAAGTACAGTACAAATAAACTTTGACCTCTAGGATCATAAAAGGACACTATCAAAATACAATACACAAATACAAATCATCACTTTAAGTCAGAATTAAAAGGTATAACAAGCTTTTAATATACGGTGATGTCAATGAAGTTTCAAGACTTTGAAGATTCTGTAACAAATGACCAAGTAATGCACGCTGGAGATTTTAATCTATATCTAGTATCAACACCCTTCCTTCTTGTCAGTGTTATTCTGACTTGGAAAATTCAACAAGATCATGACATCATGAAAATTTCCTAATTTGTTTCATCAGATCTTGAGTATGAAAGGACTTTCAGTGATATGTAATATTTTAATGCAATGTATTTCAAATAAATACTTTACTTAAAATACTTGAAATATTTTAATATTACAATCAAGATCAAAGACCTTGTAAATTAATTGAAATTTAATGTAAGTTTTTTTTTTAATAGGCTGTTCTTGACTTGTATAATCAAAATGTAATTTTTACACAATAAATATTTCAACAAGTAATCTACACAAAAAGATCAAAGGGGGCACTTTAGAAATTAACTGTGGGTTTAGAGTGAGTATCTTGTGTAATATTGAAGTTGCAGTAAAGGGTTAATAGCACATCACCCACTTTTTGTAAATCAACATGTATGACATTATACAGGTATAACTGTACGACAGACACTGTCAAGGTATACAACTTGAGACAGGTAAACCATTAACGTAAATGAACCGTAGCAAGCTAATAAGCACACAGGGAGACATGCTACATAAAATATGTCATAAAAACTGCCTGCTAAACCTAATAAGGCTATATTTACACAAATGTCACTCAACGTTCAACTGAAAAGTATCAATAAATAAACAATGCAACATTAACATTTCTCTCTCAAACTTTTCTTTAAAAATAAAGTATAGTGAAAGTATATACCTGTATGAACCAAAGAAATGTATATATCTTCAGGAACATGAACTTTGAGATGGATGTGGATGAGGATTGACCTGTACAAGTTAGTAGGGGTAAGGAGTAAGGATTGTCAGAGTAAGCTTGACCTCTATAAAGTAGAATTAATGACTGTCAGTATAACCTTGACCTCTATAAAGTGTAGCCTTGGTCTCTATAAAGTAGAATTAAGGACTGTCAGTATAACCTTGACCTCTATAAAGTAGAAGTAATAATTGTTAGTGTAAATTTGATCTCAATGGGAGAGAAGGACGTCCAGCATAACATTGGTTTATCAATTAAGGGTTGAATCAAGAAACTTCAGCTTAATCTTGACTTCTATAAAAGTAGAAATAATAATTGTCAGTGTAATTTGACCTACATAGTCACTGAAGAAAAGATTGGTCAGTATAACCTTAGGAGTATACAGACAAATTCAAAGTTCAATACAATTATCTATCATTACATCAATAATCAATGATTACACATCGTCCCAAATTAATATCCCATTATGATGTATTAAAATAAATCTCCACTAATGTAATCCTTAATGTGTTTTCTCTGACTTATTATCGATGAAATAATCTGGAGTATTTCTTTTGAAAGAGATCTTTTCAATAACTGTGGAGGTCTAAGCAGCAATAGATTTTGTAATATGAACTCTTCATTCACCTCCTACTAAACCACTCTGAAGGTCAGCTTTACAATAGGACGAGTAGATGACATATTCATTCAATATTCTCTATCTCTCCATACAGGTATCCAATTTGGGTACAAACCAATTACCACAGTCAACATTTACACGACAAACAAAATTCCTCAAGAACAAATTTTGAAGAATGTTTGTCCTACTGTTGACAGGACTTTTGAAAAACTAGGTCATTACACACCTTTACAGCTTCATTTCATTGGATTAAACATTTTTACTACCCAACAACAAAAGCTTCTCTATAATCATCTGATCTTTTGATTGGTTAATTCTGCCTCTGAAAACATTCCATGCATATCCTTCTTTTCATTTAATATTTTGAGTCCTTCTACTGTAAGTGTTTGATGTTTGATGTAGAACAGGTTGTAATTAAAAAATATATTCAGGACATTTTTTGACCATAAAGTCCTGCCTTAATTTCAACACATTTTCCATAACGAAGATATGAACTGATACAAAAGTGCCTGCATCTTAAACAAAACATCATGATTCCTTGTTGGGAGAGATCTAAAATTTCATGGTATTTCAGACTTAACCTGATGGGAAAAATATGGACTGGACATAAATCTTAACAGAGCACTAGATGTGAACAAATGGTCTTTAATATTTGTATACCTCTGCTTTTACAACTGGACATGTATACAGAGTTTTGGACCAAGTGAACCTCAGATTTCCATCATAACTAAATGATTATTAAACTTACTTTGTATATATACAACTTACTCTATTAACAGACCAAGTCTTGTCTACTTCTGACCAGTATGTATACAACTTACTCTATTAACAGACCAAGTCTTGTCTACTTCTGACCAGTATGTATACTACTTACTCTATTAACAGACCAAGCTTAAGAATGTGAAATAATCTTTGTGGCCTTAACCAACTAGTCCTTCGCTAGAATGTCGCCCAGGAGAAGTCTTGTTTACTTGCTTTTTACACAAACTCAAGCATTTACATGGGTGTAACGTCCATCACTAAATCATTTTTTTTTAACATTTTGTGTGGGAAAGTGGTTAATCCGATCGACAGCAGCCAATACAAAATCTTGCAGCATTTTACGTCAGACTAGCTATGAATTCATTATTTTTTTTCAAAATGTCCCAAAATAAATACACAGCCTTACCTAAACTGACAATGATGTAGAACAGCATCCAAATCATTGGAAGCTTTAATATAATACAGCTTGTATCTACCCATGCCTGGAAACACTTTACAGCATAATGATTAACCAACAGATTTACTTAAACAGCAAACTTCTACATAGAGAACTGCCCGGTCATCTTTTTCAGGTAGATAAGTAAAAAATCTCATGCAATATAAACAAAAATAAAAATAAATGTGTATTTTTTTTTAGAATTCAAATCCCATAAGTATCACAAATACATGAAGGCATTTTTTCAATACATTATAAGCCCGGGGGAATTTACTTTCCAGCCAAGTTTCGTGCCTCGCTCTATTAGCATTAAGTGAAAGAGGTTTTATACTGAATGGGAGAGGCCAGGTTTCTGGGTGTTAGAGCACTTGAGATTCCCGGCTCCCGCTCACAACAAATAAACGTAAAACCCCAATATAAAACCCAATCTGAGACACTTTATCCCTTGTTATTGAAGGTATGTGATACTCCTCAACATAAAACTCTTAATGATTTCTTTGAAACTCAAGGTCATTGAGGTAGTAGATTGCGACATCTCTCCTTCTTCTCCAAACCTTACAAAAATTACCATATCAATTCATTTGAAGGTCCTCCCTTTTTCAGGCCCGGCTGTTAGGTTATTCTAGAAGTGAACAGACAATGATGTTTTTCCTCTTCATGGCTTCCTTATTTGGTCAGTCATTTGAAAATCACCACGGTAGAATTTGATTGGATGCATATATTAACTGATAAATGGGAAATTTGAACAGGTTAAGTACATCACATACTTCTGTAGGAAACAGTCCCGATAAAGTGCATACAGATTGCGTAAAACATGTTAAGAAGACACATGATCCCAGTTTGAAGATTTTTCATTAAATGTCATGAATGTGATTCTGAACACTTTTATACATAAAGCTAACATTTTAACAAGCTTAACATAAACATTTTAATCATGGATTTTTAGGATTTATATCAAATCAAAAGGACAAAACCTATAAAAACATTACGTTTTTTGTCACAATTTTATTATTCTCCGAGGTAACTTTTATGGAGGATTTGTAACAAAGGTCCCCTATAGTGAAAGAAATCAAATGGAATTAGTCTTAAAGGCATTGTTAGATAACCATCTCCATGAATGAGGTTTAATGTCTCATTGCAGCTGGAGTATATGTGGCCCCTCCCAGCTATACTTCCAGTCTTTGTTCTGAAATACCTGGTTAAACAGCCAGGTAATTACTGAAATCTTGATGAATTCAACAACAGCAACACTGCCATTACCATGTTGATAATTATTACATTCTTTAAAGCCCCAGTCCTTTTACAAGTGCTCTGGGCTTTTTTTAATCAACAATAGAATTTTCTTGGCATATGTTGCTTAATCATCTATGAACCTAACATATGTTAATATTTTTTTTGTTTTAAAATCTTCAGGCAAAGATGCCTTTAAAATCTTTTTTTAAAATAAAAGAGCAGTTGCTGTTTTCTCACATAAATTTAGTTGTATCATCCTTCCTCAGTACAGTGTCATCAACCATGAAGACATTTTATTAAACATGAAAGCCAAGAGGTATTTTGATCGTTATCATGAGGGGACAAAAAATGATACATAAATGTGTTATTATGTAACAATCAGTCACATCCAAAGAAATATCTAAAAAAAATGTTCATGGATAAGATAAACATCAGAAGCCAAGACTTTGATGTCATATCTCAAACATTATATAATGATATTATTGTCCTGAATCTACAAAGACTTTTCAAATTTAACACTGAAAATATATACAGCTTATATAAAACTGTTTGTAACTCTATTGGACAGAGATTATCATCTGTTAATTACAGCACTTTCTTCTAGTACAAACCTCATATGTTAACATTCTAGATCAGTTTTCTCAAGTTCCATATAAGAAGATAATTATCTATCAAATTCAATTAAAAAAACCCACACAATGACAACTGTTCAATCCTACTGCCATTCATGTCATAAGCTGTGTATTTCTTGCCTTACAGGGGACTGAGAGTCAAGGCCACCATTGATAATACATGATAATGTCAAAAAATGTATTTTCCTTCCTCAACACAACCAAAACAACATTTGCATATAAGATGAAAACAAAATTTGCATATCACAGGATACGTAACATAAAACATACATCACAGATGAATAAATTCTTCCCTGATGAAAATGTACAAACCTAACTTCCAATACTGATATTATTCTCATCAACGTCACTGTCCACTATACACACAACTTATGTAACATGAAAATATAATCTTTCCAGGCTTATAACAATGATGCAACGTTTTACAGTTATTATGTAGCAGGTCCAAGGAACTTGTCTCCCCTGACCTCCCGCAGGGCTCTGACCAATTCCTGCTCATTTCTTCAGTTTTTCTTACTGCTGATTATAGAACCAAGATATTTTTACTCACAATAGATAATATTACGACTACTGTCAATCATTACACAGAATTTGTATCTCCTGACCTCCCACTGGGCCCCAACCAATTCTGTTAGAATTTAGCTATATTCTATAGGAATTTTTACCCACAATAGATAACATTATGACTACTGTAACAGTTTGTCTATCACTACACAGAATATGTCTAGACTTGGACTATGAAATAAAGCTAATAATTAGCTTAAATTCATTTAAGCACCAGCCAGAGTTCATGGCATGGGGCAGCACCATTCATTGCCAAATGTCTGGAACAATTCAATGTATGGTTATCTTGAAGCTTAGCTATAGAATTATTGAAGGCTACAAAAGGGAAAATATTACTATTTGAAAATTTAATGAAAACCATTTACAATATATATGATTTTTCACATAATCACACACATGTATACATATAATCTTCAGTCATTGTAGGACACACCTGATGTTCTCAAGCTTGGAGTTTTAATCTGATATCATAAAGCTAACTGTGGATAAAGCGGAGTGGCCAGGCAACTGTGGCAAATGAAGTGGCCAGACCAGCCTAAACCAGTTAGACAAACAGGACAAATTATGGTATTATATACTGACCACAAGGTACTATTTTACATTGGAGGGTTAGGAGGTATTACCTACACATTACATGAAGAGCAGAGAAATTGACCAGAAATTACCAAACACTTCCTTTAAACATTTCATTAGTATACACAATCTCTGTTTCCCCTTCTCATCCCCAACCCAATGGAACATAATGAGCTTCCTCACTCCTTTGTTTTACCTCCTCTTTCCCTTTCTTCACCTGAACCTATTACAGTAAATCTGTGCAGATTGTGTTTGTTTCAGTTTTAAATTTAATTACACTTTTAAGAAGGTATATATTTCATATTACACCTGTACATTTGACCCTACCTGTGGTACCTGTCGTAGGTATTACAACACCTTCCAATAAAATTACTTGTCACATCAAACCAACAAGGTAATTTGTTTATTAACCTGGTATCAAAGAGTAAATGTAAACAGAGTCCTTTACTTTCATACAGGGCCAATCACCGCCCCAAGATGACATAATCTGACAAGATCACATGTATCAATACATACCAAACCTGGGTGGTCCAAAACTGACAACAGATTAACATCCTACCCACTTAATAGCTCAAATTTCATGTACAGCTTTTAATGATTCAATTAAAATTCACATCCATCTAGGATATAACTGTGATCTGTTAGAAGCTACAACACTTACATTGTGGAAAACAGGATTTAAAATTCACCAATGGGGTCCTAATTTTCTGGTCCTCTGAACAATGACCAAAACAACAATGGCTAGGATTCCCAAGGTCACCTACACGTTTAGCTATTTACCATCAAAGAAGCCTACCTAATTCTGTATTTCTAATTACTGACAAACGTTACATCTTGAATCATCATTTTGCTAAAAAGGAAGCACCTCTTTGAGAAGTAAAGATATCATCAGTGACTTATGCTTGAATACACTTAAGGCATTACAGTTAACCTATTGATTGGTAAAGGCTATCTTAGGTCGAAGGCATCGAACAAACCATAGGTAACCTTAGGAGACAGGATTCATCAATTCAAAGTGCTAGCATTCTGAAATATCAATCATACTTCAACAAACCTTAGTTTTGTTATCTATAAGGTTGTCTATTGGATACACCAACAAGGCCAGTAGAATTAAGATAGTGCTCCCAACAAAATGGGATACAACCTACAGGGGAGATAACTTATTGCCTGCTGGAAGATATAAGATCAAGGGAGTTAACTGTCAACAGATAATCCCTAAACAGGTTTATAGGGATACTTGTACTGATTGTAGTGTATCTAGTACACAGCTACAGATCATCACATGTGTTTGACCAGATGTATGGACATAAAAAGGAGCAGAACATTCATAGATCACCTAGAAGTAGAATTATATCTAATGTGTGGTATAAAATGTCATGTCGGACAAGTTATAAGTGACAACAGCACTTCACACCCAGACATCCCCTGTACAGACACCTGTTGCCCTGCAGAACTGAAGACATCATGAGAACTGGTTAACACCTTTAGGCATACTTGTTACCTTGAGCTGGTAAATCAGAGCAAACCTTCCATGTGCTATGTTTAGTGAACAGTCTGCTGAACATTTAAATGTTTTTGATTATCTTTATATCATCTAACTCATTAAAATTTAGATATTAAAACTTTTATCACTCAGATATCCATAATTAAAACATTTTAAAACTTTAACAAAATATTCTCAAGAATGTAAGTGAAGAAGACTAACAAAACTTCCATCAATGACCAATTGTCATTAACGTTCCTTGTGTGTATCACATAAAGGATGGAGCATTTCAAATGACAGTTGGACATGACAACTGAATAATGTATTTACTCTGTCCAGTCACTCTGCCCACAACCTGCCTTTCATATTGTGACCACCAGACTCTGTGGTTTATTTGACCACACCAACCCTAGTCTTGACCTTTAACAAGGTCAAACATAAAGAAAGTAGCAAACCTTTTGAGAAATGACTGGTAGAGCAGAAATGCCTATCGCTTGTACATGGTGACATTTAATCACCGATATGACCTTGTAAATGATGACCTTTCATCTCTCTAACAGTATATCAAATTCTTCCTTTTTAAGTTTAAAAAGCACACTCTCAGGCTCAGAGCCTATCATTTTGTTGTAAAGAGAAGCATATCTTTAAGAATTGATCAAATATAACATATCCTAAAAAAAATTGTGTTCAATTTGTCTATTTAACAAATTTGTTATTTCTGGTTTTATTTTCAAGATGTTTAAAGCTACCAAAGCTATTCTACTAAATTACCCCTTACCTGACTCAAAAAACAGGAATGGGCTTGTCAAAGGACAGAAATCATGTTTCCAGGTAATACTATTTAATAGCAATAAATATGTTTTTATGGCCTTCTATCAGGTATAGACATAATGCCAAACAAATATGGTTTACTTTCGACTCTTTGTCTGTTAATCATCATCCCATTTTATTTCAGCTTTCCTGACCCCCTTGAGGGCCTATTGCACCTCTGTACAATCTGAAAGGGCTTTTTCTATTTTTGTGCATTCACCTTCTATCCCATCAACTTCAATCACTCTTAATTTTATTTCACACTTATATAGTGTTTCACCATTTAAACATTTTCGTCTTCCTTTACACACCAGCTACTAGTACTTCCATACAGTTGCCATGACAACAACAAGTTTCTAGCTGCAATGAATGGTATGTAATGGTAACCTAGGTACAGTTACACATCCTAAATAATGAGAGGGTATACAGGCTGTTTAGCCCATGATTGATTTACCTGGACTGACCTTCAGGCTTTGTCATCGTAAGGTATCACACAGGAAGATGATATCTACATGTCATACTTGTACCTGCCTACACACTGTCCAGCTATAAAACCAGTGTGGTCAAATATACAGTAGTTAACACAGATATCACAAAACAAATTCTCCAATTCCTGTGACAGAATATTTCTACCATATAGTTACTTAAGATCACAAAGATGTACAACAAATTTTTTTTAATTATAGCAATAATTTGTGTTACAATTTTTCATTAGTTTATGTTGATATCTGATTTAGCAGGGTTTACATCTACCACAACAGCCTTTAGGCCTTTCTGTGGACGAATATATTGATATATCCCGATAATAATCACAGTTACTCCGTCAAAGTTATCACAGACCTCAACCATGATATCAATCATTAAGAAAAACAGACAAATATTATTGACTTGTTCACCTTAGTGAAGCAAACTTACACAAGCTCAAGTCAGGTAACAGTAACAAAGTAACTAGTCGTGGTACCAGCACACCACCAGAACCTAAACCTTACAAGTCAGGTAACAGTAACAAAGTAACTAGTGGTGGTACCAGCACACCACCAGAACCTAAACCTTACAAGTCAGGTAACAGTAACAAAGTAACTAGTCGTGGTACCAGCACACCACCAGAACCTAAACCTTACAAGTCAGGTAACAGTAACAGTAACAAAGTAACTAGTGGTGGTACCAGCACACCACCAGAACCTAAACCTTACAAGTCAGGTAACAGTAACAAAGTAACTAGTGGTGGTACCAGCACACCACCAGAACCTAAACCTTACAAGTCAGGTAACAGTAACAAAGTAACTAGTGGTGGTACCAGCACACCACCAGAACCTAAACCTTACAAGTCAGGTAACAGTAACAGTAACAAAGTAACTAGTCATGGTAGCAGCACACCACCAGAACCTAAACCTTACAAGTCAGGTAACTAGTGGTGGTACCAGCACACCACCAGAACCGAAACCTTACAAGTCAGGTAACAGTAACAAAGTAACTAGTGGTGGTACCAGCACACCACCAGAACCTAAACCTTACAAGTCAGGTAACAGTAACAGTAACAAAGTAACTAGTGGTGGTACCAGCACACCACCAGAACCTAAACCTTACAAGTCAGGTAACAGTAACAAAGTAACTAGTGGTGGTACCAGCACACCACCAGAACCTAAACCTTACAAGTCAGGTAACAGTAACAGTAACAAAGTAACTAGTCATGGTAGCAGCACACCACCAGAACCTAAACCTTACAAGTCAGGTAACAGTAACAAAGTAACTAGTCGTGGTACCAGCACACCACCAGAACCTAAACCTTACAAGTCAGGTAACAGTAACAGTAACAAAGTAACTACAAGTCAGGTGGTACAAAGTAACAGCACACCACCCTAGAACCTAAACCTTACAAGTCAGGTAACAGTCAAACAAAGTAACTAGTACCACACACCACCAGAACCTAAACCTTACAAGTCAGGTAACAGTAACAGTAACAAAGTAACTAGTGGTGGTACCAGCACACCACCAGAACCTAAACCTTACAAGTCAGGTAACAGTAACAAAGTAACTAGTGGTGGTACCAGCACACCACAGAACCTAAACCTTACAAGTCAGGTAACTAACAGTAACAAAGTAACTAGGTGGTACCAGCACACCACTAAACCTTACAAGTCAGGTAACAGTAACAAAGTAACTAGTGGTGGTACCAGCACACCACCAGAACCTAAACCTTACAAGTCAGGTAACAGTAACAAAGTAACTAGTCGTGGTACCAGCACACCACCAGAACCTAAACCTTACAAGTCAGGTAACAGTAACAAAGTAACTAGTGGTGGTACCAGCACACCACCAGAACCTAAACCTTACAAGTCAGGTAACAGTAACAAAGTAACTAGTGGTGGTACCAGCACACCACCAGAACCTAAACCTTACAAGTCAGGTAACAGTAACAAAGTAACTAGTCGTGGTACCAGCACACCACCAGAACCTAAACCTTACAAGTCAGGTAACAGTAACAAAGTAACTAGTCGTGGTACCAGCACACCACCAGAACCTAAACCTTACAAGTCAGGTAACAGTAACAAAGTAACTAGTGGTGGTACCAGCACACCACCAGAACCTAAACCTTACAAGTCAGGTAACAGTAACAAAGTAACTAGTCGTGGTACCAGCACACCACCAGAACCTAAACCTTACAAGTCAGGTAACAGTAACAAAGTAACTAGTCGTGGTACCAGCACACCACCAGAACCTAAACCTTACAAGTCAGGTAACAGTAACAAAGTAACTAGTCGTGGTACCAGCACACCACCAGAACCTAAACCTTACAAGTCAGGTAACAGTAACAAAGTAACTAGTGGTGGTACCAGCACACCACCAGAACCGAAACCTTACAAGCCATCATCAAACCATTTAATCAATCCAACCAAACCCGTCCTGTGATCATTTTATTTAAATAAAGTACAATATCAATTCTGATTCCGACACAAAATAAATCCACAGCTTGGTTTGACATGCATTCCTGAATGATGGGTTAATTTAATTGAAATGATAATGCTTAAATCTGGGGGTACAGTTTACCTCTAACAATGTATTCATAAAGGAGTGTCCTTGAAAACTTATACAAATCTTGAATGTTACAAATTTAGGGGGTTTTGTACCCTCAATCAGGAGTAATGGGGAACACAAGTAAATTACCCAGTCAATCCAATACTAGAAATACCACAGTCTAGAAACAGGTTACATGGGCTTACGGATAAAGTTCACACAGTATCAATGTTAAGAACACAAAACTGGCCCAGTAAATCCTGTCCAGTGATATCTTAAGTTACAAACAATTAGACATATCAATATATTTATACTACTAAATCACAGGTTATCAGCTCTCAGTGTCAGATCTTATCCGCTCCAATGGTTTATTGTGATATTTGTTTCATTTAGCTGAATTCCACTGGACATTTGGTCGGTAAATTAGGCATGTGGTCAGTTGCTTCTCTCACGAATCAGACCATTTAGATAGGACCCTGGACTTCAACTGCTAATGGATGGACAAAAATAGCTTTCCTTTATGTACCTGTAGCAAATGACTAGAAAATTTCATATGAAAGCCATATAAAATCATGTTTAGATGATAAAATATGAAACCATAATGGTTGAATACATGTGTTTTCCTTATTAAGTTGACTGTAATATCTAAAAATTACTTAAAGCAAACCAGAAAAAATCACAATCCAAAATATGATGCTGATAAAATGTTGAAATAATATTTTGTAACGCTGAGATTTGAAATGTGCACGTGTGAAGAAAACAGCATGTAAGTATAAAACATTTACAAAATTATAAAACAACATACTCCATAGTTATAACCAGGCATTCCTACTTCTATCAATGTCTGACTTTCATTCCATCAGAATACATAGCAAACAGGATTCAGAATTCCGTTTTAACTCTGACCAAGCTGTTGAATCCATTACACTTGGACCCTACAGACCATATAAGGAAACAAGGTCATTCACTGAAACAACTTTCTTAGTCCTTCATCATTGCATGCTTTCAGTCATGTTAATTAAAATGTCTGTTTAATTACAAACATCTGTCATGATGTCCGTTGTGGTATATGTAATACTTTGTAAATGTGGTACGTTAAAAAAGGAATTTAATTTATATCAGAGCATCAAACCTTGATCTCCATAATTTTCAATTGTGGAACAATTAATAACAAGCACAATGGTTTTTAAATGGCTTTTTAACAATAAAAAAATTTACATGATTACATTATCTCATTCATCTGTCATGTTTGTAACATCTTATATATATATTATGACAATCTGGTGACATCAGCTTTAATCTCAGTACACTACTATTCTTTCTTTATTGCGTAAAATGACTGCAACTTATTAATTAAAGTAAGCCATTATCAGGTCAACTAGTAATATAATTGTAACTGTATGACTTGTTTTGATAAAGAGTGTTACATGTACTGGCTAACAATACAGAGTCAAGCTCTTGGATAATGATTAAGTTCTATCAATGGCTTGCATTTTCCTCAAACTTAATCCTCCCATATAATTACATTTTCAGACAGAGTTTTCTTCCCTGTTCAAACTGTTACCAATTCCTTCAGAGAAATACAGGCACAAGTTTATTAATACATTTTTTGGCAAAAATACATTCTAAACTTACAGAATATAAAAAAACCTTTAAATTGATTAATCTGTACTTAGTTTTTCTTTAATTTTTTCCCCATATACTCCAATCTCGTTGAGATTTGTCTTTGTAGTGTACACTTTTATAAAAGCAATTTGGTACTAAAATACTTTTGCTAACATATACTCCAACCTCGTTGAGATTTGTCTTTGTAGTGTACACTTTTATAAAAGCAATTTGGTACTAAAATACTTTTGCTAACATATACTCCAATCTCGTTGAGATTTGTCTTTGTAGTGTACACTTTTATAAAAGCAATTTGGTACTAAAAATACTTTTGCTAACATATACTCCAATCTCGTTGAGATTTGTCTTTGTAATGTATACTTTTATAAAAGCAATTTGGTACTAAAAGTACTTTTGCTAACATATACTCCAATCTCGTTGAGATTTGTCTTTGTAGTGTACACTTTTATAAAAGCAATTTGGTACTAAAAGACTTTTGCTAACATATACTCCAATCTCGTTGAGATTTGTCTTTGTAGTGTACACTTTTATAAAAGCAATTTGGTACTAAAACACTTTTGCTAACATACTCCAATCTCGTTGAGATTTGTCTTTGTAGTGTATACTTTTATAAAAGCAATTTGGTACTAAAAGTACTTTGCTAACATATACTCCAACCTCGTTGAGATTTGTCTTTGTAGTGTACACTTTTATAAAAGCAATTTGGTACTAAAAGTACTTTTGCTAACATACTTTGTATCATTGATATCACTTTCTTTAAAATAATGAAAAAAATATAATCAGATTATAATTTTAACTGATAGAATAATTCCCAAGATTTCATCAGTACAAATGCAATTCTAATAGGCAACTTTCCATCAGCGGTTTGTTACGGCTCTCAGGTGCTCTCCTCCTAATGTGAGCTACAAAGATTTCACACAGTGCTTAGCAGGTGTATTTTTACTTCTGTTATTATTAAGGAGAGGGCAACAGAAGTATACTTAAGACAGATAATATAACCGACCTATGGCCATCAACAAGTTGGATTCTGTAGGGATGTCTTTGTCTCCATCCTCTCCTCTATGTACTGGGGTAATTATCACAACTGAACATAAAGGGAAATAGCTTGGTACTCCAAAACGAGTGTTTTTTCTGGCAGGTTTTCAAAACTTAAACATATCTGCATCAATCAAATACAACAGACCATTGACCAAAACATTTTTTATTTTTTCTGAGACAAAAACACTTCCTGGCATGAATCATGATCTCTGTAATGTAATGACCATTCTTTTCAAGGTGTGGTGGGAAATCCTACTAAAACCTACCCAGTTTTTCACTTCTAAATCCCTCCCCTCTCATTATAATGCAGGTATGTGTATCTATGGAAGAGCCCTCCAGCAAAGGTGAATGAACGAAATGAATTCTGATGACACTGATCTGATGAGCTATAAAATGCACATAACAACCCAATCATATTGGAATCTCAGCCCCACAATTACACTCAAATAAACACAAAACTTCCCACATTCTTACCTTCTTCATTTACATGTAAAATGTGTATAAAATTTCTAACTGTAGACATTTAAGACATGTCATGTGAATATAGGCATCTATTTTTTCAGTGAAGACTACACATAAACCTTAGTATAATTGAAAAGCTTAAATGGATTATGTTTGCTCCGTAAGTTAGAGTATATTATGAAAGTTGAACCAGAACTAACAAAAATGTGACACTCTGAACTACCTGGTATTACCCCAGTTTAAAGCTATAATTACCCACTTTTACCTAAAAGTAAATCTGTCAGGAGATAGCACCTGCTCAGACACTACCTTGTTGGATGTCACACAAGAGTGACCCACAACAGTACCTCGACTGCAGTCACACAGAAGTGAACCCCGACGCCATCTCAACTGCTGTCACATAGCAGTGAACCCAGACACCACCTTGACTGCAGTCACAAGAGTTCCCTTCATCATCACCTCGACTGCTATCACAATTATGCCATTCAACACCATCTCAAACCCTGGCACAAAACCATCTTGACTGCTGTCACTGCAATGCCCTTCAACACCATCTCTACTGCTATCATAGGAGCACCAACAACCTACCCTGAATACTGTCACAGGAGCACCCACAAACCACAACTGCTGTAACACGAGTACTCCACAAACCACCTTAACTACTGTCACAGGAGCACCCACAAACCACAACTGCTGTAACACGAGTACCCCACAAACCACCTTAACTACTGTCACAGGAGTGGCCCATAAACCCCCCTGACTGCTGTCACAGGAGTGACCCATAAACCCCCTGACTGCTGTCACAGGAGTGACCCATAAACCCCCTGACTGCGGTCACAGGAGTGCCACACAAACTATCCTGACTGCTGTCACAGAAGTGCCCTCGGACACCACATTGACTACTATCACAGGAATGCCCCATAAACCCCCCTGACTACTGTCACAGGAATACCCTCCAATACCAACTTGACTGCTGTCACAACAGTGCCCTCCAATACCATCTCCATTGCTGTCACAAAGGAATCCCCCAACCATCTTGTCTGTTGTCACTGGAGTGCCCACCAACACCACTTTGACTGCTGTCACACAGGTCCAAACCTGTTTGTAGTAAAATATTCAACATTGCAAGCTATAAATGTCAAGACATGCAGGTACATAATCCCCATCGACCATAGGGGTGAACAACAATGTCTCAGGAAGGAATATCACTGGATCAACCTGCTCCACACCTGCTACTCGTATGGCAAGAATGAGAGATGACCTGTACATGCTTTGTGAGTGGGTCCCCTGACCTCCACCTTTGTTTCAGTACATACTAATCAACTAATAAATGAGGTAACTCACGTGGGAGTGCCCTGCTGTTGTTCTTTTTTACAGATTGTTAGTTATCTATTTTGCCCTTACCACTTTCATAATTACAATTCTTCTTTTGTTCCTTTACGAAATAGCCACCCATTTTGAACCTCAGAAGCAGAAAATAAGTTTTTTTGGGCAAGTTGTCTGTCCTGAGGCCCAATCAACCACATCCCGATTTTTTTGTATTTTTCCCTCACTTAAAGGGTGATTATCAAAAGAATTTTTCACTCTAGCTAAACAAACATTTATTCAACTCTCTGTGATAAAAATTTTTCAGTTTTGAGCATCAAATTTTAATTTAGGACTGAAATGTACTAACAACCACTTTTCTCTAGGTATGACAATCAGTGGCCATGGTTCCCATTGTACTGTGATTTTCATCAGATTTAATATTTCATGTTATTGGAATTTCT